CTGGATAGTAAACTGGTTGCATACATCAAATCTGGTCTAGTTACTATCAAATACAACAGACACCCTATCAAACTCCTGTACAATCCTTCATCAACCTTCTCACCATCCTCATCCTTTGACAGCTTCAAGTTTGGAACCAATGGCAGATTCACTGGTTTGCAATTCTCCATGCAGAATTTTTTTAAAACTTCATTTGTATACTTTCTTTGATTCACAAAGATGCCATCCACATCTTGATCAATTTCCATTCCAAGGAAGTAAGACATTCCACCCAAGTCAGTCATTTCAAACTCACTTTGCATGGATTTCTTGAATTCATCCACTTGTGTTTGATTGCTTCCAATTACTAGAAGATCATCCATATCTAGAGAAATAATCATCAAGTCATCTTCAGCTTCTCTAATGTAAAGAGTGTATGCGTTTGGACTCCTAACAAAGTCCAAGTTCAGCAGGTGGTCATTAATCCTGTTGTACCAGGCCCTTGGTGCCTGTTTTAGGCCATACAAGGCCTTCTTCAGCAAATACACCTTTCCCTCTTCTCCTTGGATCACATACCCTTCAGGTTGTTCAATGTAGATTTCCTCATTTAACCAGCCATTCAAGAATGCTGATTTTACATTCATTTGGTGAACTTTCCAGGAGAATTGAGTAGCCACATCAAGTAGCAGCCTGATGGTGTCATGCTGAGCAACATGAGCAAATGTTTCCAAGAAATCAACTCCATACTGCTGAGCAAATCCTTTAACTACAAGCCTGGCCTTATGCTTCATAATTGACCCATCCGGATTCAGCTTTTTTTCGAAAATCCATTTACCTGAATAACCTTTCTATTTTCTAGTCTGTCCACTAACTTCCAGGTCCGATTTTTCACAATCATTGCAAGTTCCTCCTTCATGGCACTTCTCCAAGATTTTGATTTTACAGCCTCTGAGTAACTTGAAGGTTCCATTTGTGCTAAGTTGCACCTGTCATACACATCAGCTAGAGTTCTAGTTCCCTTAATAGCAACCTCTTCATCTGATTCCTCCCTTGAGTCTTCTTCAATTTGATCATCTACCTCACTTAGTTGAGGTTTTGTTTCTACATCAACTCTGCCCTTTTCCCAATTCCAGACTCCACTCTCACCAATTGTAACATCCCAAGACACCACCACTTTCCTTGAGTCAGGAATGTAAATCTTGTAGGCTTTGGATTGGCTGCTGTAGCCAATAAATATTCCAGTCATAGCACTATCCTCCAGCTTTGTTCTCTTTGTAGATGGCACCAGGACATAGCATATGTTACCAAAAATCTTCAATTCATCCACTATTGGTCTGACTCCAGTCTAAGCTTCGAAAGGTGTTTGATTGCTCAAGGCTTTGGTAGGAATTCTGTTGAGTAGGTAGACACTTGTGTTTGCTGCTTCTGCCTAAAAACGTTTGGGAAGATTTTTCTCAGCCATTAAGCATCTTGCCATTTGAATAACTGTCCTGTTTCTCCCCTCACAAACTCCATTCTGTTGTGGAGTATAAGGGCTGCTGAATTGATGTCTAATTCCAACTTCTATGCAGATTTTTTCAAACTCTTGAGAAGTGTATTCAGTGCCATTATCACTTCTCAAGGGTTTGATGGATTTTCCTGTCAGGTTTTCTACTTCCAGTTTGAATTTTCTGAATGTTCCAGCTGTTAGAGTAGATGCCCTAGAGCCAATCAATTATTGTAGAATTGACTCTTTGTAATAATGTTCATTAATCAATAAAAGGCATTTTATTCTATATCGCGTAAATCATTATTATTGCAATATGTATTGATATATNCCTGTGGCTTCAACACCTCTTCGCCGTGGCGAAGATTATTCTTCGCCCCGGCGAAGCATGGAACATTGAATTTCTTCTATTTCAACCAATTTCAGGGCAAGTACTCAACACACCACTCAATCAAAGGTCAACCAAACAATAATACTAATAAACCAACTCAAATAAGAGCAAAAGAAGAAACGTTAGCTACGTATCTCAAGTGGGGCGTTACAGTTCAACACTCCTCCTTGGCTTTGGAGATAGCCTTGGTCATTATGTTAGCCACTTGTGTATCACTCCTACAATGCATTAGTTTCACTTCACCATTTTGTTTAGCCTCTCTCATTGCATGAAACTTTATTTTTATGTGTTTTGTTCATCCATGTTGCATTGGATTCTTGGCCATAGCTACTGCAGATTGATTGTCACACATGATAGCAGTAGCCTTGTTCTGTTTCAGCTTCAAATCGTCAAGAATTTTCCTTAACCAAATGGCTTGATTCACAGCTGCAGCAGCAGATATATACTCTGCTTCAGCTGTGGATTGAGCCACGGTTTCCTACTTCTTGGAGAGCCAACAGATTGCACCATGATTTAGGAAGAATACAAATCCTGAAGTGCTCCTCATATCATCTATTGAACCAGCCCAATCACCATCGGAATAACCAACTATATTGAAGTCCTCTGATCTCTTGAACCACACCCCCAAATCAGTACTTCCTTTTACATACCTTAGCACCCTTTTTGCAGTCTTGAAGTGTGTCTCAGTTGGTTGACTCATAAACCTGGATAGCAAGCTGGTTGCATACATCAAATTTGGTCTAGTTGGTGTCAAATACAGCAAACACCCTATCAAACTCCTGTACAATCCTTCATAAACCTTCTCACCATCCTCATCCTTTGACAGCTTCAAGTTTGGAACCAATGGCAGATTCACTAGTTTGCAATTCTCATGCAGAATTTTTTTTAAACTTCATTTGCATGCTTTCTTTGATTCACAAAGATGCCATCCACATCTTGATCAATTTTCATTCCAAGAAAGCAAGACATTCCACCCAAGTCAGTCATTTCAAACATGGATTTCTTGAATTCATCCACTTGTGTTTGATTGCTTCCAATTACTAGACGATCATCCACATCTAGAGAAATAATCATCAAGTCATCTTCAGCTTCTCTAATGTAAAGAGTGTATTTGTTTGGACTCCTAACAAAGTCCAAGTTTAGCAGGTGGTCATTAATCCTGCTATACCAGGCCCTTGGTGCCTGTTTTAGGCCATACAAGGCCTTCTTCAGCAAATACACCTTTCCCTCTTCTCCTTGGATCACATACCCTTCAGGTTGTTCAATGTAGATTTCCTTATTTAACCAGCCATTCAAGAGGGCAGATTTTACATTCATTTGGTGAACTTTCCAAGAGAATTGAGCAGCCACAGCAAGTAGTAGCCTGATGGTGTCATGCTGAGCAACATGAGCAAATGTTTCCAAGAAATCCATTCTATACTGCTGAGCAAATCCCTTAACTACAAGCCTGGCCTTATGCCTCAGAATTGACCCATCTGGATTTAGTTTTTTTCTGAAAATCCATTTCACCTGGATAACCTTTCTGTTTTCTAGTCTGTCCACCAGCTTCCAAGTCTGATTTTTCTCAATCATTGCAAGTTCCTCCTTCATGGCACTTCTCCAAGATTCTGATTGTACAGCCTCAGAGTAACTTGAAGGTTCCATTTGTGCTAAGTTGCACCTGTCATACACATCAGCTAGAGTTCTAGTTCCCTTAACAGCAACCTTTTCATCTAATTCCTCCCTTGAGTCTTCTTCAATTTGATTAGCTTGAACCTCACTCAGTTGAGGTTTTGTTTCTACATCAGCTCTGCCCTTTTCCCAATTCCAGACTCCACTCTCACCAATTGTAACATCCCAGGACACCACCACTTTCCTTGAGTCAAGAATGTAAATCCTGTAGGCTTTGGATTGGCTGCTGTAGCCAATAAATATTCCAGTCATAGCCTTATCCTCTAGCTTTGTCCTCTTTGCAGATGGCACCAGGACATAGCATATGCTACCAAAAATCTTCAATTCATCCACTATTGGTCTGACTCCAGTCTAAGCTTTAAAAGGTGTTTGATTGCTCAAGGCTTTGGTGGGAATTCTGTTGACTAGGTAGACACTTGTGTTTGCTACTTCTGCCCAAAAAAGTTTGGGAAGATTTTTCTCAGCCATTAAGCATCTTGCCATTTCCATAACCGTCCTGTTTCTCCTCTCACAAACTCCATTTTGTTATGGAGTATAAGGGCTGTTGAATTGATGTCTAATTCCAGCTTCTATGCAGATTTTTTCAAACTCTTGAGAAGTGTATTCAGTGCCATTATCACTTCTCAAGGTTTTGATGGATTTTTCTGTCAAGTTTTCTACTTCCACTTTGAATTTTCTGAATTTTCCAGCCACCTCACTTTTCTGCCTTAGAAAGTAAATCCACCCCATCCTAGACCAATCATCTGTGAACAATACAAAGTACTTGCTCCCATTAAGTGATAAGCTTTGCATGGGGCCACATACATCCGAGTGAATAAGCTGGAGTTTTTCAGAAGCTCTCCAAGCTTGATTCACTAAAAAGGATTTCCTACTCATCTTGCCTAATTGACACACTTTACAGACTCCTCTAGGGTGTTCTATAATAGGCAGATTTTGAACTAAATTTTTTGACTGCATTTCCCTTAGATTCCTATAATGTACATGGCCTAATCACTTTTGCCATATTTCAATTTCATCCTCTCTAACATTGCACGTTGTGTGTGGTGTAACTTTCCACATAATTGGAAAGCTTTTCCCTACCATTTTCACCCTCAAAATCTCATTTCCCTCACTGTCTTGAATAATGCAGAGCAAAATTCCTTTCCAACATTTGTCCCACACTCAAAAGACTTTGACTTATATTAGGTGCATAAAGTACATTTGAGATTAGTTTTGTATCTTTTGGAGTTTGAATTGCAACATCTCCTTTACCTCTTGCTTCCACACATTCTCCATTTCCAACTTTAATCTTTGACTGATGGGAATGATCTGTATTCACAAACTGCTCAAATCTGGTGTCATGTGATGTGTGCATCCACTGTCAATTAGCCAGGTATCATCACAAGTTTGGATCAAGTTAGATGAGGCCACAAACAGCTGCTCTGTCTCTTGCAGTGGTTGTTGATCATCAACTATTTTAGTTTGCTGTTGGGACTACTCTCCCTTGTTTTTCCACACTCTTTCAATATGACCAAACTGTTTGCAGGCCTTACACTGTATACCAGGTCTGAACCAGCATTTTTGCTCTGTACGTCCCTTCATTTCGCAATGAGAACAAGTCAGAAAATTCCTTATCCCACCAGCTTTATTCCATTGGTTGTTGGACCTTTGTTTTCCTCTCTTTTCTCCAACAAACTTTCTACAGTTCCCTTGTACAGACTTGCCCTTATAGGTTGCTAACATTGCCCCTTCATTTGCATCTTCAAGCCTTAGGAGCCTTCTTTGCTCTTGTGCCTGCAGAGCATGGACCAGCTCAGTCAATGTGATTTGAGTCAAGTCCTTTGAGTCCTCCAACGATGAGATCTTGGCTTCAAACCTTTCTGGCAGGCTCACTATTACCTTTTCCACAATCCTATTGTCTGACAGCTCCACTCCAAGTAATCTGATTTTGTTGACAATATTCATCAGCTTGTCAACATATTCTTTCACTTTCTCAGCCTCCTGCATTCTTAAAGTTTCAAACTCCCTTCTCAAATTCAGAACCTGCATGTTTCTTGTGGTGTCATTTCCCATGAACTTTTCCCTCAATTTGTCCCATGATTTCTTGGCTGTTTCGCATGCCATAATACTTGTGAAAACAAGGTCTGTGACAGCTGAGTGAATGTGAGACAAGGCTCTTGGAGCCTTTGAAGCTTCCTCTTCATGCATTCGAATTTGGTTAAGAGTGGGATTTGGCCCCAGCTGAGGGGGTTGTCTCTCTTCCTCTACATACTACTAGAGTCCTTGGCCCCTCAGGTAAGCCTTCATTTTGACGGACCATATATGGTAGTGCTCACCATTGAACATAGGAGGTAAAAGGGAAGCTGTTGGAGTGGTCATTTGTTCAAGAAAAAATAGGTTTGATGCAAGGCTGTTTCTCGGAGAGTTGGATGAGTTGTTTGGAGAAGAAATGTTCAGATTTTGGCTGGAATCAACATGGCTCTGATACCATGTTAATGCTTTTACTCCGGAGATAACAAAGAAGAGAAAGAGAGCTAAGTTGAAATGAGGAAGGTTGCGTTTTTGTTACATTTCAGATGAGTTTACATTGCAACTAATAAAGCAGATATTACACTGTTGCACCAACTTTGCAGACATATAATAACATGATTTAATCTAAAGCCACAAACTTAATACCAACTAATCAACAACTATGCAGCACATCTCTTATAATCTGGAGCACATATCTAGCATTACAAAATAAGAAAAACTTTGCAGCACATCAAATGGACCCCCGGCATATTGCCTTTTAGTTTTGCCGCCAACACATATTCAAAAACACTAACTAAGCTGCTGCATTTCTAGCCAAGTATCAATGTTAAACAGAACTGCATTCATTACATCGTCAAACTTTGACTTACTGCGGTTGAATTCTCTGTCTCCTCTTTCATCTGTGGTGTTGCCTGTGAAGTAACGAATCAACATAACAAGAAGGACCAGCACAGCTACTGCCAATCCAATCTTTCCGATATAGGATGTCAGCTTATTCAGGCAAACTTGCTGTGGAGCCTGCTGATCCAAGGCATGGCTAATAGAACTCATCATCTCTCCCTATGCCGTTTTCATACCGACAGAAGTGATGAGCATAGAACCATAACCATCTGTGACCTTTGTGCCAGAAAGCAAAAAAGGATTCTTGTTGCCATTGATCTCAACATGGTCACTTTCACCAGTCATGCTAGATTCATCCAACTTCAAGGATTGACCATTCAAGAACAACCCATCAGCCGAAATTTAATTGCTGATCTTCAAACACAAAACATCACCCACTAAAACTTCAAAGATTGACACGGCTTGGTGCCTGCCATCTCTCACTACTTCAACTTTTATGTCACCACTCTCATAAGAAAGCTTTTCAAATTGTCTATTTTGCTTAAAGTTACTCGCGGCAGAGACAGTTACAACCAAAAACACATCAAATATAATACTGCTACCATCATACCACCCTTCTTTCAAGCCATCTTCTTTAATTCCGAAGGCTAGAGAAAGTACTGCACAGACTAGAAGTATGATAATGGTAGTATCTTTGAATGCTTCATAAACAAAACTAAAAACTTTTTTTGCATCTGGCTTTTAATAACAGTTTTGACCAAAAGCATTCGTTCTATGCAGAAGTTGAGCCTCATTACCTAGGACACAATTTTTTTCGTCGGTTCCAAGAATTGCAGCAACTTGCTTCACTCCTCCAAGATTAGTCAAAGATTCGAAGTTCTTCTCTTTCACCATGGTAGTGAGTATTTTTCGATCAATGTCGAAAAAATTAACTCCAGCGTCTACCGATAACAATGGCAACATAAGAGAGGGACCCCAAGATTTGTTTGTGGCTATCTTTGACAAAGAAGCAAGAGCCCCGGTGAAGCGAATGGCATCAAAAGCCAATCGCCGCCTTCTTTTTTGGAGTTTTGCTAGAGCCAAAAGACTATGTTCTTGGTCACATATTTCTGGTTCGTTGGGTAATGGAGGGTTGAAAATGAATACCCCTGACCCAACCAAAAAAAAGAAAAGAAAGAAAAAGTGTTAGTGTTTATGTGTTGGAGATAACTAAGAAAAGAATGAGAGAATGATACGATTGAAGAAAAGTGTCTGAATTTTTCTTAAGTTCAAAATGAGTTTACACTTCAACTAATAAAGTTGATATTACACTGTTACACCAAACATGTAGACATATAATAATTTGATTTTAATTTGAAGCTACTGACTTAATACAAACTAAACAACAACTATGTAACACATCCCACATAATCTGGGACACATATCAAGCATTACAAAATAAGTATAACTTTGCAGTATTACAAATGAACCCTTGGCAGATTTGCCTTTCAGTTTTACCGCCAAAAACATATTTGAAACATCAGTTGAACTGCTGCATTTCCAGCCAAGTATCAACCTTCAACANGCTGAAACTAGTCTCTAAAAGAGAAGGTAAGTCAGTTTTATGATCTTGAGCTTCTGCCTTATCAGATACAACCTAATCGGTTATGTGCATTAGTTCCTTCTATGCAACCTCTTCAAACTCCAGAGCAGAGACCAACGATCTCAGATACGAGATCGCGCCAACTATGTTCTTCATTAGTGGAAGATTCATCCTTGAATCATTGTGAATAGAGGCTACTGATAGAACCACTCTCGGTTGATCTACTTCAAGCATGAGATCAAGGTGTCCAAGTGACAAAAAGCCCGCCACAACGAGAGCCACCCATCCTTGCCATCCCGTCTCACCTTCAGTCAACCATCCCTACCTAAACCCCACTCGACTCGACTCATCCTCGTGGGTCGAGCAGGCTCCCTCTCCTTCACACCATCTCGCTTGAGTCCATCCATCCTAACAGACTAAGCGAATCACAAATAACCCATTTAACCATCCATGTGGGGCAAAACACCCGATCGGTCACAATGGGAGCCACCCAACCAGAGGGAATGAATGGAGATCTGGGCTACCAAGTGACACATGACAAAATGATCTGTCAAGTTACACCACATGGATTGACCTAACAAAATGCATCGAGTGCAAATCATATGACTAACCGAGTCAACCAGGATGACCTAGTGGTCTTCGCCTCTCCCATGGAGCAGATATTGGCAAAAAGACTGGCCGACATAGAGACAGCGATGAGGCGCATACCAGGAGTGCCAATCCCAACCAAAAAGAGCCAACCTCACTACTATGCTGATTTACCCTTTGTGGATGCAACCGCGCTAGCCGAGAGACCTCACAAATTCAAAAACTTCATTTGCATACTTTCTTTGATTCACAAAGATGCCATCCACATCTTGATCAATTTCCATTCCAAGGAAGTAAGACATTCCACCTAAGTCAGTCATTTCAAACTCACATTGCATGGATTTCTTGAATTCATCCACTTGTGTTTGATTGCTTCCAATTACTAGAAGATCATCTACATCTAGAGAAATAATCATCAAGTCATCTTCAGCTTCTCTAATGTAAAGAGTGTATTCGTTTGGACTCCTAACAAAGTCCAAGTTCAGCAGGTGGTCATTAATCCTGCTGTACCAGGCGCTTGGTGCCTGTTTTAGGCCATACAAGACCTTCTTCAGCAAATACACCTTTCCCTCTTCTCCTTGGATCACATGCCCTTCAAGTTGTTCAATGTAGATTTCCTCATTTAACCAGCCATTCAAGAAGGCAGATTTTACATTCATTTGGTGAACTTTCCAAGAGAATTGAGCAGCCACAGCAAGTAGCAACCTGATGGTGTCATGCTGAGCAACATGAGCAAATATTTCCAAGAAATCCACTCCATACTGCTGAGCAAATCCCTTAACTACAAGCCTGGCCTTATGCTTTAGAATTGACCCATCCGGATTCAGCTTTTTTCTGAAAATCCATTTCACCTGAATAACCTTTCTGTTTTCTAGTCTGTTCACCAGCTTCCAGGTCTGATTTTTCTCAATCATTACAAGTTCCTCCTTCATGGCACTTCTCCAAGATTTTGATTGTACAGCCTCTGTGTAACTTGAAGGTTCCATTTGTGCTAAGTTGCACCTGTCATACACATCAACTAGAGTTCTAGTTCCCTTAACAACAACCTCTTCATCTGATTCCTCCCTTGAGTCTTCTTCAATTTGATCAGCTTGAACCTCACTCAGTTGAGGTTTTGTTTCTACATCAGCTTTGCCCTTTTCCCAATTCCAGACTCCACTCTCACCAATTGTAACATCCCAGGACACCACCACTGTCCTTGAGTCAGGAATGTAAATCCTATAGGCTTTGGATTGGCTGCTGTAGCCAATAAATATTCCAGTCATAGCCTTATCCTCCAGCTTTGTCCTCTTTGCAGATGGCACCAGGACATAGCATATGCTACCAAAAATCTTCAATTCATCCACTATTGGTCTGACTCTAGTCTAAGCTTCAAAAGGTGTTTGACTACTCAAGGCTTTGGTGGGAATTCTGTTGAGTAGGTAGACACTTGTGTTTGCTGCTTCTACCCAAAAAAGTTTGGGAAGATTTTTCTCAGCCATTAAGCATCTTGCCATTTCCATAACCGTCCTGTTTCTCCTCTCACAAACTCAATTCTGTTGTGGAGTATAAGGGCTACTGAATTGATGTCTAATTCCAGCTTCTATGCAAATATTTTCAAACTCTTGAGAAATGTATTTAGTGCCATTATCACTTCTCAAGGTTTTGATGGATTTTCCTATCAGGTTTTCTACTTCCAGTTTGAATTTTCTGAATGTTCTAGCCATCTCACTTTTCTGCTTTAGAAAGTAAATCCACCCCATACTAGACCAATCATCTATGAACAATACAAAGTACTTGCTCCCATTGAGTGATAAGGTTTGCATGGGGCCACATACATCCGAGTGAACAAGCTGGAGTTTTTCAGGAGCTCTCCAAGCTTGATTCATTGGAAAGGATTTCTTGCTCATCTTGCATAATTGACACACTTTACAGACACCTCTAGGCTGTTTTATAATAGGCAGATTTTGAACTAAATTTTTTGACTACATTTCCCTTAGATTCCTATAATGTACATGGCCTAATCTCTTGTGCCATATTTCAATTTCATCCTCTCTAACATTGCATGCTGTGTGTGGTGTAGCTTTCCACATAATTGGAAAGCTTTTCCTACCATTTTCACCCTCAAAATCTCATTTCCCTCACTGTCTTGAATAATGCAGGATTGTTTTTGAAAATGCAGTGCATA